AGGGGGACAAGAAGGTGGTCAGTCACAACTGTTGATGAAAAAAACCAGGATTTTCAGTGAGGAGAACAATTACAGCAGCCGACGGTGGTTAAAGCAGCAATCTGTTGAACATTGGCAAGGCATAGTTTCCCATAGCAGTATTTGGTCAGTACTTTGCAATTAAGTGCCTTAACCGCATAATGAAGACCATGATCTCTAATAACTGTCACTTCTGAATGGTTTTGCAATCCCTTCACCTTCCTAAAGCCAGCCAGGCTCAAAAGACAAAATGCAGCATTTGCAACCCTTCGGCATGATACTGTCAGCAGCTGAACTTCTCTATCAGAGTGAAAAAATCCACATCACTGTTTCTTCTGTGTTTTCTTTTATCCGTTTTTTTTTTTCAGACTTGACTTTCGTTTTCTAGTAATTATATCCCAGCCTCCACCCAGAAAGGTGAGTCTCTCTGCTGGATTTAAACTCAGCATTGAAACGCAGACACTTTTTGGCTAATTCATGGAAAGAAAAGCCTGTGCGTTTTGTAAGTGTTACAGTCTCCTGATGTGCTGCTGGTTGCAAGTTTTCTGGAAGGGCTTAGCGACTCACATTCAGCATTACATTAAGATTTGCTCTGTGCATTCGTGCCACATCGCACACAAGCTGACAAAGCTCTTGGAATATAAAGCCTTCAAAAGGGCGATGCGCAGATGCTCAGTAGCTCTCTGGTTGTCAGACTGGTCTGGCTGGGATTACTTTCTCCGTCCCAGCACTTTATAGTGACATCCAGCATGCTCTGTCCCTGTGCAAGGACTTCTGCATTTGCATGGACTCGAGTTGGGATTAAAATACAGGCAACTTAATTTTTGCAGAGTTAATTCACAAGCAAAACCAAAACCTGTTTGTACACCAGTAACTCCACAGATAATCTGAACATACCAGAGAAAGCAAATGCACTGGCATGATCTTGATAACCAGGGATGCAAAAATAGAAGTAAAGTAACTTCAAGAAAAGTGTAAGAGAAGTTGGACGGTAAGTATATATCTTCATTTTCTGCAAAAGCTGCCTTAGAAACAGCACGAGAGTAAGATCTCAAAACCCTGATTTACTCCTTTAGCAGCTGCCAGATTGAGAGCTGTATCTACACGCATTTGCTTCCCTAAAAAATAGAAGTCATAGTGCAACACTGACATGTTACCAGCCACTGGCACACAAAAAACTGTCTCACTAGGCTGACAAGAAAGCATGTAAAAAGCAGCTTTTGTCAGTACCTGACATTGTCCTCGTGGATTTTACTGTGGCCCAAGGTGGTCTGAAACTATGCCATCACCAAACAGAAATCAGAAAAGACCAGCAGAACGAATGAGAGTTAGCACATTAAGGATGTAAAGCTTTTAAAAAACAACATAACACATTATTACCTGGCTGACGAGCATTTCCTGAGATGTTCATCCGTTGTGGCAAAGTAACCAATGACTTCATCGTTTTGAAACGTTGTGCTGTTCGGAGCGCTGAGGGGGACCCAATTCTGCCACGATGTGCAGACCAGACACTGGGCCAGGAGAAGCCAACCCAGATGTTTGCAGACAGAACTTCCTGCACTGGCAGTGGCTGGTACCAGCACAAGAAGGCAGCTTCTGTGGGGCTACTTGAGAAACTGCTGAGAAGGAGACAACACAATGCCAGAAACTTCCCTACGCTCTGTGGCCTGTGCGCTTTCAGACATTTCTTTTTTCAAAATCTCTCCCCTGCAAAGAAAGTGGCCAATAGCTCACATCTCAGGAAGAAAGAGTATAAAAGCATGGCAAGTAGATAACGATTCATCTTCCATATGCTCCCCCAGAACCCACAACATTTGTGGCAAGAAGTACCACAATTTCACGATGTGAAGCAGCATCTCCTTTGTTTTGCGCTGAATCTGCCACCTCCCAGTTCTGTTTGATGCCTCTTAGGAGTCTGCATTGGAGTAGACAAAGAGAAGTCACCCTCACTTTGCTACCCATGGTTCTATAGATGGCTATCATCTGGATTAAGAGTCCTAATCTATGTAGTCTGTCTTTTGTGGTCATGTTCCATCTTCAAGGGCCAGAAATTGGATCATCCTGTTGCTCGTCTTTGCACCCTCTTCAGTTTTATTTTATTCATTCTGAGACAAGGAGATCAGAACTACACACATATTAAAAGGCATCATTATCTCACATAACCACATGATGATGACTTCTGTTGCTTCTCTGCTTCCTAGTAGTCAAATTTTTTTCTGCAGTGCTTCTGACCAATGTGTTTTTACGGAGCTTAACATACAGATAACCTTAAAGTCTCATTCTTAATTGGTCCTAGTCAACCTAGAAACAGTAACTATAAGGACAGTTTAGGAAAATGTTTTCCTCATACGCATCATTCTACTTTTATCTATGTTGAAATTCCTCAGCTGTTTCAACCCACTTCCACTCAGTTTTGAGCAATCCATCTATAACTCTCAGTCCTAGTAAATACACGTCTTCCTTTAATATACTTGCCTTTAATCTGATAATGGAGAGTACATTGATTACCTCTGCTGAGGATCTGCTCTATACTGTGTGCCTTTAAAGACCTGCTTTGGTGGCTTGACAGCTGTGCTATAATATTGACTTTACCTTATTATGCCTAATCTTTTCTTATGGTTTATTGCCAGCTGGATTGCCCACAGGTGCTGACAGCCTCTTGAGCGATGCTCTTCTTTTAGGATGCTGTTACGTTACTTTGGAGAACTGCCAGCTGACCCAATAAATCCCACCTGAGGTGAGACCACCCTTGTGCATACATGGAGAAGCTGCAGTGAAAAAAATCAGGCTTAATATTTTCCTATAGCTTTCTTGTATTTGGATGAGGTTGCTGGAATGGACGTGTTCATGGTGAAGACTAGTGGGACATCTCCTCGGTGGTGGCTCTGCAGAACCCCCCGGCAAGTGCACGTGCTGTCCTTGGGGGAATTAGCTCACAAGAACGTGTAGGTGAGTGAACTGGGGTCAATGCTGATTACAGCCGGTTGCTCGTGGGGTACTATGCCTTTCTGCAAGCACAGCCTGTTGGGGCTTTTGTGGCAGCGCTAGGTAACTGTTCAGCACTAAGTGTATTGAATAACAAAAATAAAAATGGCTATTTACCTGCCAGTCTTTCAGAAGAGGAGACGTACACATGCAGATGCAGCAGTGCTTGAACCCAAATAAATCAAAGATAGTTAGTTGGCACTGTACATCCAGGACTGACTTTCTGGAATTTACTCCCTTTTGGCCAAATCAAATCAATTTGCCCAAAGTGCTACGAAAAGCCAGAGAACAGAGTAGAAGATGGGATTTAATATGCTCTTGGCAGCCTGCATTGCTAAGGAGTCATGCTGCTGCCTTCTCCATTAGCTGGAGTTTCTCTAAGAGGTGGTGGCTAGGCTTAGATTAAAACAACAAAAAAAAAAACAAAACAAAAATGACAGCACTTTGTTAAGGAGTGTCATAAAAAGCACACACACAAAGGAGCACAGAGAGAATGTCAAGTGGGAGTAACACTCTGCCCCAGCTACTCCCAGACCCATCACAGGAGCCATCAGCCCACCAAAAGCCCATCACCACAAACCCAGAGGAGCACAGGGACATAATGGCAGGTGGGAACCCAAATTAAGGACTCATAGGGACACCCTGGCTGGGCCTCTCCCAGGGCTGTGGCAGGAGTGCCTCAGCCCCTGCCCAGATGTGAAACCCATCAACATGAGGCAATGGGACGGCTCACACAATCACTTTTCAAACAATGGGAGGTTACTGCCTGGGAGTGCAGGACCCGTTATGGGATGCAAGGAAAAGCATTTTGGGATTGCACAAAATTTATGGGATGTTCAGGAGTGGAACCAAAAGTGGTGAAAGGAATGGGTGTAGGGGATTTGGGGAGGAATAGATGTAGGAAAATAGAGGGATAAAGGGCTGGACAAGTGTAGACAGGCCCTATGTCCTGCCTGATCACCACAGTCTGTCCTGGTGTCTGTGGACACCACTAAATGTCATTTCTAACTCTTTTCCTGGGTGAGGAAGAGGCAAGCTTGTGAAAGCAGCTAACTACCAGGAAAGTCTCATATGGCTGCTGGAGAGACCATGGGGTCTGCGGGTCACATGAGACCCGTGTGTGTGTGCAAGCACGCATAGGTGTCTCTGGGGGAAGGCATCTGGAAAGACAAAGGATTCAGGATCAACTACTGGGTGAACTGTGCATCCAAAGCGAGCTACTGCAGAGACCACAATGCATATGCGTGTGTGCACATGTGCCGGTCTGAGTGAGGGGTCTGTATCAGCAACACAAGTTGGGCTGCAGCCTCAGGGCCTCATATGTCCAGGTGCCAGCAGCTGGGGAGACCACGATCCAAGGGCCAGCTACTGGACACACTGAGTGTCAGAGTCCAGCTGCTGAAGGTATCTGGAGTGTATCCATGTCTCTTTCCAGCTAACAGACCTTCATCCTGATCAGCCAGAGAGGGGAACGGGATGCTGGTGCTGTCTGTGTTTATGTGAGTGCTGCGAATGCGTGTTGTGTACCTGAGTTGGTGTGTCGTACCTACTGGGAATAGATGCTCTGCCTTATTGTTGGCTGGACCCCAGGGCATGGAGCTGCAGCAGTCTCGCTTCTATCTCGCTTCTACCGGATTCACCCCACTCCCCCAAAAGCCATACAAAATGTGTCTTGAAAAACTGATGGCAACATCTTTTACAATAGCTGATGCATTACCCTGAGACTGGGACATTAAATACATGTCAACAGTTTAGAGCGGGAAGTGACGCAGAGGCCTCTGAGCGAGCTAGCGCTGTCCGTGCCAGAACACGCACGTGGCACGACAGGGTGTCATACGGTAATGCTGTCTTGGGTGTGGAAATGTTACTGCCCTGCACTACAAGAGCACTTGTGGTTCTACTGCTCTCTCACACAGTCTGAGCGCAGACTCTCCACGTGCCACACACTGCACAGCCCAAACGAGTGCTGAGCGTATGCATGTGTTTGGGGCGGGCAGATGGACCTCGCACCTTCCGTGGTTCAGGCAAGAGCTGTGACCGCTTGGCTGTGGCGTCAGGCTCCTCCAGCTCGGCCAGGCACCCGTGGTAGTGTTCACAATTACATCTCCGTTGGCTAGAGAGGGAAAGGCAGTTCCATTTTGATAAAGAGCTTGTCGTTTGTGGTTTTGCTAAAGCAATGGTACTGATCCTTCTCCGCCACGTATGTTACAGGGCTGAAATCCAGCTGGGAAAGAAAAGCACCATTGTCTTCCATGCTGAATCAGAGTTGCCTCGTACAGCAGAGAGAGCAGGAGGCGTTTCTGCTGGACATTGCCATGTCAGTGCATGGTATTATCAGACTGTCCAGAAACAGCCCATCGTGGGCTCTTCCTAAGCAAGGGTGGATGTGCACCTGCCCAAAGGAGGCTGTGTACCTGTGAAGGAGATTGCACAAGAGTTGTTCAAACCATCAGATAACACAACTCTAATTTTGCAATATCAATTCTGCTCCAACCAGCCTGGTGCTCGGGGCGTGAACCCTGCCTGAGCACCAGGCTGAGCTGGAAGCAGCAGTGAGATCACGTTAGGTGAAAAAAAAAGGAGTTAATATTATAGGTTGGTTATGATATCACCAGGCTGACCTAAAAGGTTACTCTGGCAAAAGAATGTATAGAGAGAAGCTACAGTTCACAAACCTGAGTGAGACACATGAATGCAAGCTCCATTTTGGACTCGGTCACTAACCCTCACTGGGGCCTGGAGGGCACCAGCAGGTGTTGGCTGTCCTGACGAGCCCCACTGGGATCTCCAGCCCACAGCCCGCCCACGCCTCTGGGAGATACACTTAAACCCAGCCCTGGGCACCTAGTCTTCCTTCGAGAGAAGCTACAGGTGTATCTATTGTCAGCCCTGGCTTCTGGGCAGGCTTCCTTGGACATCCGTTACAGCCCTGTCCCCGCCCTGCCACCTGCTGCTCCTCCTGGCTGGACTCCTGGAACAAAGTCTCACAATGGACTCCAGATCTGATCTGCAGCTTTGCTTGTCCGTGCCTGTCAGCAGGCTCTGTTACTGCCATCCTGCTCTGCCCATTCACTTTTAATTCTGTGGGATTGGAGGACCATTTCTTGACTGTTGAAGGCAATGCCTCTGCTGCGGCCATCCTTGGCTCCCAGCTCCTCGTCCCTCATGGAGCAGACCAACTCTCGCTGTTCCCTGGCAGCCTGCACTGCATGGACAGTACCTCTACAAAAATTGCTGATGTTACCATGCTCTTAATGTGCTTGTGTTACAGATGAATCCATGCTACCACTATGCCCTGATGCAACTGGGAAACAGAACTGCCACCAAGAGCATCACCGGGTGATGCATTGTGATGCGGCTGAGTTCTTCCAAACCACCCTGCCTGCCTGATACGCAAAACTTGCTGCCTCACGTACACACGTTCCCTCCATACAGAGATGGAAGTCACCACCTAGCACCAAGAACAGCCCAAGGGTTGCTACTATTATTTGCAAGGTATGTTACTATACTCATGTGAAAAATACATCAATAAAAAATATTGTCTTAACAGTGACAAAAATATATAAGGTTACTGAAGTATAGAATAGCATGTGCAAACTAGTGTTTATAGATTTGCAGGCCCTGTTTCCTTAAATAAATAGTAAAAGAAGAGTCAAGAGTTGTGAGAAAGCCTTACTAAGTTCACCTTTGCATTTAGGATTGCATGGCCTAAAAATGTGTGTTTTGTGGTGGACAGGTTCTGCTTTTTAGTTGTATAATAAAGCCTATCAGGAAGGATATGTTTGTTTCTTTTCATAATCATCAGGGGTTTTTTAAACATAAGCCTTTTTATCTCTGTTCCCTTTAATTTGTAAATTTATTTTTGTTTTGTGGATAGGCAAAATCAATAGCAAGCTTGATTTTAAGAGCATCGGTTCAAGGCAGGCATCTGTTATGGATGACCTTCGGAGACTTCTTAGGCAAGGAGAATATCCTCCTTTTAGCTCTGCTCTCGTGTTCGAAAGCAAGTTTGTCCAGGTAAAAAGTCATTCAAATTAAATCATTTGGCATGCTTAAGATAAAATTGTTTGCAATGATTACCTTTTTTATTTTCTCAGCTTACTAGGTATTCCTCACTCATTTCTTCTCACTATTCTTATCCTTTCTTTACTACACACATATGGATATAATGTTTCCCTTCTTCTATAGACTCATTTTGCTCACACTTTACAGGCAATAGTCCAGAAATCCAGCAACAGCAATGCTTCAAATTAGAGGAGGATAAATACTGATGTTTTCACCCTTCCTTGTCAGCCTCTACTCCTTGCTGTAGCAACAGCTAGGATTGTTCTAGCAAATTTCTGGTTCTCTGCTATCTCATTAAGCTTTTTAGCCATCAGTGTCAGTTCAACCTACCCTAATTGGCAGCCAGCCTTTCCCAGGCAATTTGCCCCCACTTGCAACTTCTAGTATCCTTGCAAGCAATAGAACTACCCTGCCTGTCACTTACCCTAAGCACTGGCTAAAAAATCCTGCAAGACTCTGGCAACAGTCTACACTCCTACAATACTGCATTCACAATGTGTCTAAAACATCTGAATTCCATTTACATGATGTATCTCAACTGTGTTTTTCAGAGTTTCATTACCTCACTTTGTGATAATTGCAACATCCTTTGGTCTTGCCTTGATTAATTCAATCTTGCATTGTTGATATACATGCAGAATGTTAATTAGCTAGAGTCTCTGTTTTCAAGGTACTTTATGATTTATTCCTGCTTTATTAGACCTCATTTACAACAAGGAGGCTGTTGCCCTAACCAATCAACTCAAGAAAACAGCAACACCACTGACTCATTTACATTAAAATGTGAAAAAAATAATATAGCCTTTGATCTTTTTTACACATTGTCTCTCACACTTGGGAGGAGATTCTACTAGATATCCACAAATTTAATGCACTGTCCTCCTTCAAATTCCTTCTTAGGATACACTTTTTCTCCGATGCCTGTCAAAACCATACCCTGACAATGGTACATAACATGGGATTCAATCATACTTATCAACTTGGTCTTATCTCCTTGTATTTTCTCATTTTTATCTTTCTGTAATTTCAGAGTACACATAAATTACTTAGGATTTTTTTCCATTCTGTGTTTGTACAGCACCTAGCAGCATCCTGGTTCATTAACCAGGTCTCATTAATATGCTGACAAAGACAATGAATCATCAGAAGAGTTCCTCTTCCATCATGCCTACACTAGGAGAAATTAAAGATAATGATACTCGAGGTTTCGGACCACAGCAATCAGATACCCAACAATTTGGAATATACAAAAGCCAGTGATTTCCAGTCCTTTATCCTTATTCAACTTCTTTCCTTTCTTCTCATTCAAACACATTCCTGTCTCATTATTCCACATTCTCCTCTCTCCTCACCAACCGAGTACATTATCTCTAGGGCCTCCAAAGCAAAACACCATGAAATGTATTGGTAGTATATTCTCTGAAAGATCATATGGCAAATGTCAGTGTTAATGGGGCTTTTTTTTTTTGTTCAGGTTAATGAAAGAGGGAAACCAATTTCTATCCATAACCGACCCATTTGTGTGACCATTGGCATCTGTGCTGCCAATCCCAGTTCATCAACACCCAACGTGATGCTGGTAGCATGCGAGGTGCCCATGACCCCAGAGGAAATTGTGACAAATTTCTGGAAACTCTCAGAGCAGCCATACCACACGGGACAGCTAGCACTTACCAGGTCAGTTAGCACCAAGATCAGTTAAATATTTCCTTGAAGAATAAATAAGAAATATGAATGTATTTTTGATTTCCATACAGTGTTTTCCTTCTTTTAAGGGTCAGTTTATTAACAGACCTCATATTTGCACTGACTCTTTGTCCCAGAACTAGCACAATAAAGTTAGGAGAATCATTTAAGCTTAAGCTCACACCTTTAGGCCCCACTCTGATCATCATTTTGGGCCAACGCTACCTACATGCATACAGATAGACGATGGCTAGGAATACTTAATAAACCTTTTTCTAAATATATCAGAAGCAGGAAGCTGATAGGAAGATTGGGGGTGCAGGATTGTCAGGGAATAAGGCAGTGGAATACAGGCATTGTGAAGAAGTCAGCTGCCTTTGCCTTCATTCTGTGCACTGCTGCCCTGCATTTCTTCCATAAACAGCTAGAGGCATTCATAAGAAGAATGTCCAAATCCACTCAGCAGCTTCTTACTATTTCAATTTCTCACTTTTAGTCTTACTCTATGTGTAGGTCAGACAGACAAAATGTCTTCTTTGAGAGGGATCTCCACTCATGCTTAATGATGAATTTCTCCTTTTTTCATAGGTTGTTCCCCTTGAAGTTTGTGGAACTCTCTGTCCTCAGCAAAGATAAGCATCAACTCATGCTAAAATTAGTAAATGGCCGTACCTATTGTCTAGAGCTCTGTGCCCCGCCAAACCAGCACCATCAACTATTCCACCTGTGGCTCCGTCTCATCTCTCTCATGAAACCCACAGAAAATACCAGCAATACTGAAGTCAATGTAAAACGCAAGGATTCTGGCATGTATCGCGAGATAGCTCCCAGCCCAACCAACACATCAGAAAATGTGAGTCTGTAGCAAATAGATATCAAAAATTCAAGCTGACCAATCAGAAAGTATCACTTGTGTCAATATTCTTCACTATCTCTCAGGTTAAAGTGTTTGTGTGCTTTGAAGAAGCTACAGTTCTGTTTATCAAAATAGCTGGCTGCTTGTAAACTCCCTACAGAACTTCAGGGCAATGGGAGTGAGGACGCTAGGCACACCATAGCCCTGAGAAATTTTTGCGAATCAATAAATAGCGTACTACTTATTGTTCGGTGTTTAGTTTTCCCTTGTAGTTGGGGGCACGTTCTTAAATGGTTCTTTTTGACTGAATTCCACAACCCACAGAAAAAAAGCAGAGAAGGAAAGACATGGGACAGCTGAGACCCATGCAGGGACTGATAACTAATTAGCAAAAAGGGCAAAGGCATTTGATCCATTCAAAGGACAGAAAGAGAGTTCTCCACGGAAATGCTACAGCAGACAGACAGACAGAAGGCAGCTGCTTGCTGTAGCTAAAAGAGAAACGAGTAGAACAGTAAGGGCCAGCAAAAATACTTCAGGAGGTCCTAAAGACAGTATCACATACAGAAATTTCACTGAAGTACAGAAGGGACCTGTTACCTTAGAGTCACACTTGGGAAGGAACTTGGATAGTTAATGATGCAGCTCAACATTGTCTAAAGCTATTTCCTCTAAGTTCCAAGGAAACATTTTGTCAGCACAGGCATTGATGGGTCTTTAGTTCCCACTCAAGCCAACCCAGCTCTCAGCCAAGCAGAGGCACATCCACAGGGAGAAGAAAATAACACAATCACATGCTCAATGCTTAGTACTGCATGTACATCTTTTCTCTTTTCTCTGCACTCAGAAGCTCCCATCTTCTCCCTGGCCATGGGTAGCAGAGAGAAGGAACAACTGTGTGTATATACAGCAGAAAAATTACAAGGGGACTAGAAAAAAATGTAATTTTGGAGAGAGGAGAGAACTGTGGGAGATTTATTCTTTCAAGAAAAATCAGTGATGAAGTAAAGGGATGACTGAAGAAAATCTAGGGGGAAAACTAGCATATTCAGATTAGATTTGCAGAAAGTGTAGGACTCAGATTTGGCTAAAAAATCTGCACAGCCATATCCCACAACCATATTGGTTAAGTCAAGAATGCATAGGTTGTGAGAAATTAAGTATAGGATTTTCAAAATTTCTTAATTGATATTTTTCTGCTTCAACTATCCCTACATAGCCACCTTTCTTCTGGGGTTTCTGCTTTCTCTCTTATCTGATGTCAAAGACTAGATCCTTGTACAGCCTTCTGGCCGTAAGCTGGCCTGACATCAATGTCAGCTCCTGCATGTACAGCAGATGTTACTAGTGATTCAACATACTTAAATCATGATCCAGACCTAGAATCTCTATTTTTCTTTGCAGAATAGACATCACTTTCCAGCCGCACATTCATCAGTGTTGCAAGACCTTGAGGTATTGGCTGTTGCTCACTATTGACTTTTCTTTTCTACTGACAGTTTTTACGTTTGGATTTTCCTTTGCATTATTACATCCTCCCTGCTCTCTTCTTGTTTGGATAGAAAGCTGTCTGCGCATGAAAGACTTACAGGTATCTCTGCCTCAGCTACTTAAAAGCAGGAAGCTTAGAAAGATTTTATTAGGAACTGATCTCAAAATCTGGACAGGAGGGAGAGCAAAGATCTTAGCTCAGCTTCAGAATATGAGCAAAAAGAGGAGAATAACCTGGAGATAAAGGAGTCCTGGACCTCCAGAAGCAGAGAACCTGGAGGCAAAGCCACAACAGCTCTCAGAGGTTAAGCTTTGGGACCTGTTATCTCTTGATAGACTGCATAGTTGCCTTTAACCAAAGCTGTAGGCCCATAATCTCCAACAAATTGATAATATATGAGAAACAGTAGTATCTCTTCTAGATAGATGTATCACATTTCCTATGGTTGTTCTGTCCACCTACTTTATAGCAGAATATTCAGGGAAATTATCACAAATTTCCAGTTGTGCTGATCAGCTCTGTACAGAGCTCTTTTTTTATGTCAGTTGCTACTGTATCTTACAATATTTTCTTTTTGCTTCAAGAGAGACAACCCACAAGACGTGCGTAACCCCAAAACACAGGAAGAAGTAGTTACTAAACAAACATCCTCCAACCAAGTTCCCCTCTCAGGTAAAGTACATCCCACAGAAGAGAGTGGAAGAAAACAGAAAGACTTTGACAGCTCCCTGAAACCAACAAGGCAAGAAAACACTATGCAGTCAAAGAATACAGATCCTCTGGATACAAAGGAAAGCAAAAGCACAGAAAAGAGTAAAACTAGGTAGGTGTGTTTGGAAAATGAGTCTGATATACTTGACTTCTACTGCTGACTTTGAAAAGTAAATGTGTCATGTTTTTGTCTTCAGAAAATATATTATTGCAAGACCTTTTCAGGGTTACTGTGGTTTTCCTAATATTTTAACAGATTAGGAAGCTGAAGAATACAGGATGAGGTGAGGTATTCAGACTGGTTTCTCAGATGTTTAAGGGCTTTTGAAAGACCATTCCCCCTGCCCACCCTCTCACCTTCTGGGTTCACAAAGATGGATGACCAAGCAAAAGTGCATGAATGTTCAGTAACTTAGGTGCTAGTGGTCTCCTTGAATGCTGAAGTTTCTGCATACAGGCAGCTTTGATTTAGATGCCCAGTATACGAGGGCATCATACAGCATGGAGTAGATTCAGTGTTTCCTTTCTATCCAAAATCAGCAACATGTCCTAGCACCAGAAATCTGTCTTTTCTGTATCTCCTTCACTGCCACATCCATCCTGGCTTGTGCAGAAAAGGAACAGGTATTTTTGTTGGTGGTGTTGCACAAACTAGGCATGCAAAATTTCGGTGGCAGAAGGAAATGAAAACTCTGTCGCTTACATGAGCATCTGCATGACAAAGAAAGAACAAGACTTCAACATAATCTCTTGTGAAGCTACACCTAGGCTCTGAGCAATGTGTTCAGATGTGTGTTATGTTCAGATCTGTCATATGCAAGTGGAGTCTATAACATTCAAATATCTGTAGGTGTTAGTGTGCCTGCACTTCAAAGCAAGGCTTACTACGTCACGTGGCAATACATGTTTATACTGCAGACAGAAGGAGATTAAAATAACATCTATTTAATAATGATCCTGGTACATAATCATATTACTAGGGTAAGACTTTTTCCTGAGTTTGTTGACAATGGCATAATGTTTTTCTTCCTGAACTCGTTTTGGTTTGGTTTTTAGGACAAATACAACGAAGCAAAAAAATGGGAAAAAAATGCAGACTTCAGGTATGACAGTTTTTCCAATGTTTACTCACTTCCCCATTGCTATTCCTACTTCAGTAATAGATGAGAGAAGCTGAAATTTCATAAGATGGGAGTTCTTTAGAACAAATATCCCTATGTCAACGTTGCCAATAGATCAGCACTTGTATGACCGTGTTATTAGGTGGTGTCCTGTGCTCATTCCCTGCTGTGAACACATCTGACTTTCCAGGGTTCAGTGTCAGGTTTCTTCTAGAAAGGCCTTGATGTGGGACTTGTTTGGCTGATGGCAGCCATTGCAACTTCACTGCCAAATCAGATAAAATACAGGATAGTGGAAAGGGTGAGAAAGCTGCATGCCTAGGATGGTTCAAAGACATAATGTTGGCCTGTACCTCCTCTTCCAGTGTGCTGTAGGGCTTCCCCAAAAAAACATGTCTGAGTATGAATTTAACTCCAAATAGTGTGTCTGCAGTGTCCTCAAGCATGAGATCCAGACTCGTTTCAAGTGGAATGTAGACACATTTTGCAGCACTCTCCACAATGTCATATTTAGATTAGCATTAAGATCCTTTCTGACATTCTGTGTTTCTGCACAATTCCCTACAGAATATCCATCTGGGACAAGAAGGTACCTCTTGACATTCACAGTTCCCCTTGTTTATACTTCCCCAATTCTTGTCAGTGATTAAACACTGTTATCTATGCCTGCCAAGGAATGACAAAAGCGGGAGCCACTTAGCTTATTGATGCCCCTTATTTATGTCTAAACTCGTGATCGTTCTGTATGTCAGTCAATCAGTCTCTTGAACAAAAGCTTTTATGGTCTTCCTCCACATACTTCTCCATTTTGCCAAGTCACAAAAGTATGAACAAGCTCTTGTTTAATCAAACTCAGGTTTTGTGAACTGTGATGCTACTGTGTGCTCTTCTTTGTAGCTGGCCGGTGGGCTGCATGCAATTCGTTGTCCTAATTGCCAGGTGGTGATCTTAGAGACCTACATGACCTGGAAAGAAACGTATTTCATTTTATGATATGCTCTTATTTAACTGCTTTTCTCAATTTTTCTGTGTGCACACATCTCTCTGTCCACTAATACATATATATCTGTCTGAAAGTTTTGTTGCATCTCTCTCTACATACATTTTGGTACATTACCAATTTTTAATATCTCATTGTTACGTTCTTTTTCACTCTCTTCCTCTCTTAACAGCCATTCATTTAGAAATGGGGGTACTGACAGAGAGCAATGGGTTATGAGGAGATATAAATTAGTACATGCTCAAGAATTTATTTCAGCAGTCCACATTAAATGGAGACAAATAGTGACATATTATGTAATCAGCAATGACAATTTTGTGCAAAGTACTAGATTAATGATACTCTCATTTCAAATTAATTTCCTGCATTTTAAAATAGTCTGTGACATACATATAATGCTAAAACACCTAAATTATACTTTACTGGGGCTTAGTGCTACAATATTTTCTTTTTTGTGATTTTATAGTGAAAACTGTAATAACAGAGAAGTAGTGAAGCAATCAGAACAGAAGTGCTTCAGACATTTTCCTATTACACACAAGCATTTGAATTTGTTGTGCTGAGAGAAGGAGATGTAGGGACCTGCCTATTTACTTCAGTTGTCTCTCCTCTAGAGTTTTGTCCTCGTTTTCTATTCTACCTAAACAAATACTTTTAGATGGTAATTTTTAAGTAATATATTTGTGACGTATTTTATATAGGGGGGAAAAAAAATTTAGCTGCTGTATTTCCCATTGTTTTCTTTCTGTTACCATCTCTGCTTCTTCCTCTGCGTCTACTTGTTCTTTTTTCCCAGTCGCTCACAGCTTTTCAGAGTTTCCTCTGATCGACTTACCTGTTCTTTTTCTCTAGCTCTAGATTATTCTTTCTCTTGCTTTCCACGTTCTTTCAACTCTACTCTGTGCCTCTTCCTCTTTTTAAACAGTACCTTCCTCCAAAGGCGTATTCCTCCTCCTGTCCAATTGGGTCTCTTATCTTCTCCTTTATTTTCTGGTCATGCTCATCCCAGTCTGCATTCTACTATCAATTTCCAAAATTGCCATGTTGAGGCAAAGGCAGCATGTGTTCTTCCTGGGCTTACCGAGACCTGCAGACTCTGTTGTCTTCTCAGCCTGCTGATCAGCTTTCAGTAGAGAATGGAAATTATCTTCACGAACCCCCAAGCAGTTGAGAAGTATGACAATATCATGTTAACCAATACCAGATATGAACGGGCTTGTCACACCTCTGAGGTGTTTTGCAAGGACTAAAGATGACTTCTGCTGTGAGGTGAGTAGGTGACACAGTTTGTAGGAGTGACTAAAGGAGAATAGCATGGAAAAGACTGGGAAAAGGCCAGTTTGGAATACAGAGCACAAATTCTAGTAAACTCCCCACAAAGGCAAATCAATTCCCTCTGGTAAATCTTTCTTCCTTTGTGGTTCTTGGTGTAAGCTCATCTTCTCTGTCCTTTTCTCTCTTTTGATTCCTTGTGCTTCTTTTTCTCTTTCATTCTCTACTTCCCTGCACTGTTTTGTTCATGCTAATGATATTTCCTTTCAGGAAATAAAAAGGATGGCAACAAATCCAGTAGGCTGCTTAAAGCAATATCCTGGATGGTTAAGCACTAAGAAGGAATAAAAGAAAGTAAAGCAAAGCATCCCGGACATCAGATGCAGTTTGAAGAAGGAAAAGATATACACATAGAAGAAAAAATTCTCCTGCAGACTTCAATTCCATCCATAACGTCTTACTATTGTACAATAAACAAAATACAAGCTCTGTACTCCTCTGTATTAGTTCACAACAAGCAACAACAACAAAAAATTGATCCTTGGCAGTGCAATCTACCTTTTTCAATGACTGAGATGATTTTTTTTCAGGGAGAAGACTTGTAGTTTGCAGCAGAAGGCAAAGAAATAGACACTTGAATTAACTTTATAATACCTGACTGTGGCTTACACTTTTATATAAGGTCAAGAAAGCTCTTATGCAAGCAACTTTCAGAACATTGCAGGAGGAGAAGTGATACAGAGCAATATCATGTAGTGGGCATAAAATCATGATAACACAGGTTTTATTTCTGCCAGTGAATTTCTAGATGAAAGTGCGCAAATCGCTTTCCCTTTTCGTTCCTTAGCTTCTTCATTTGCAGAATGAGGATAACCTCTTTTGAAAATCACCACGCAATGTACTAATGAGAACAACTCTATAAGGATTTGGTATTGTTGTTACTGTTGTTGTTGTTGTTATTTAGATGCTATAAACATTGCTATCCTATTGGAATAAGTAGCAGCATTTTTGCCAGAACATACTTGCTGAACTACAAAGCATTTAGCATCAGAGCAAACAAAGTATCTGCTACTGCTCGTGCTACCTGTCACTGGGACGTTTCTGTGTAGTTTACAGCATATGCAGTATTTTACTGACATTTTGAAGCATAAGCTCTGCACAAGCACAGCTAAACAGGGAAGACGGAAGACTCAGTAGGCTTTCCTCCAAATGAGCACAAAGAACATACATAATTCACAACTTCCAAGGAAACAAACGTCAAGCTGATGTTTCTTGAGAATATAAATTAATTGAATCCTCTTTGAGGGGAGTCTGTGTGTAATCACATTCCAGTCTACGATGCTGTAAGAAACAAGTGGTGGCAAATTCAAATTCTAGGTATCACCCAAAACGTGAACAAGAGTGAAATATCATTCATTATAACTGGAAATTCCAATGTTGTCTTCCACGGTGAAAAAATATTTCTAGACTCTGTTTGTCAAAAGAGCAAAGTAGCAATTACTGCCAAGGAAGAAACTTTTAAGCAGTCCCTGAGGAAATGGTTGTACAGCCTATTTTCTGCTCAAGGGATCATAAGTACTTGAATGATACACGACTTATGAAGTGCTGTTGTCCACTACATGAACAAATGTAAAACACTGAGAGAATAAGGATCAGTAACAGCATCTTCAGTATCATCTACAGACAAACTGGCTGCAGATGCTTACCATCAGTGACTTC